GGATATTATAAACTAAATTTTATAATCTCCGAACTACTACTTATAGATTTTGGTCCTCCCGCCAATCTCCAAAATCCAATAAGTCTTTTTCTTTTTTTAACTTTTCTTCAGATGGAACTTTATTTTTATCAGCTAATGTATTAACGTGACTTACGTTATTATGTCTATCTACAAATTAGGCATGTAGTCATGAACACTTAGTACTTCTAATGAAAATTATTCAATAAAGAACAGCTAGAGGTACGCCCTGTGTGATCGAGGATATTTAGGCTCTTAACAAGAGGCAGTCCCGATCATTCTTACACAAGCTACCACTGCTAAATCCTAGCTGACTAAATTGTATTTTAGTTTAATATAGTTTGAAACCTAGTAATTTCCATCGAGGTTTACACAATCACCAGGGCGTCACGATTTCAGCTGATCGTCTAGCAGCATTGCTAGAGGTGGACCGGCCAGGTAACCAGGATCGGGCGTGGTCTTAGTACCATATGGTGGCGTTTTGGCAACGTTATATTGTCGGTTTCTTTAAAATTCTGAAACCTATATCAGCCCTTCTCAAGGATGGCGTTCGTTTCAAGTGGGGCGCTGACCAACAGGCCGCCTTTGATTTAATCAATGGGCGCCTGAAGACTTGTGCGGTGCTCGCTACGCCGGAACCAAGTGAGCGGTTGTACCAGTTCGCTGACGCCTGTGAGCACATTGGTCTAGGCGGAGCAATTTACGTTCTCAGGAACGGGGAGCTTTGGCCGATGACTTACTTTTCTTCAAGGTTCTCGCCGACTCAACTAAACTACCATGTTACCGACAAAGAATGGCAGGTGCAGGTGTATGACCTCCGAAAGCATTGGGCGGTGTTTGGTAACTATCACCACCCCATCACTATTTACGGATCACCAGGCTCTGTTGACCCTATGGCACCGAGAGTTTCTCGCTGACGATCCCCGTGGTCGCCGACAGGCACGTTGGCAGGAGGTCTGCCGGGATCGGGACGTTTACCTTTTGCACGTTCGTGGCAAGGATAATAGCACGGCCGACATGTTCAGTCGGATTACGACCACGGTGGATCCGTGGATGGACCCTGTTAGGACCCAGACGGTGAGTCCCAGGCGTCGGGTGATGTGGCGCTATCATGTGGCACGGTAAGGCCCCCCTCACAGTAATGAGTACATGGCCAACAAGTAGTATTTAAATGTCGCTGATAAGCCTTGGGGTCCGCATACTCATGACGGCTTCGCTCTTCCTGGCAACAATCATCTGCCAAATTATTTTTCCCCTTCCTTGGAAGGTGGGGCTTTCTCCAAGCTCTGGACGTTCCTGAACTTGCGGGTTAATTGTCCGTGGGTGTTTTGGCCAAGGTTATCGCAGACGAGGCAGACATAACTCTGATGTGCCCGTATCTCCCTAATGCCTCTTGGTTCAAACCAATGTGGTAAACGAATGCTTCAATAACTGTATCGCAACGTTCTCCCTCCGTAGAGAGGGAGACGTTGTTCATTTATTAGTAATTGTAAAATTAATGACTAATAATGAGTCATAAGTCATGTGCTGTAATAGTCAGCAAAAACCAAGTTTATCAGATTATTCTGATAAACTGTAAAAACTATAATAAAACTAAAATAAACAAATAAACCTAAGTACTTGTATTCTGACCACACCAATGTTGTCGTTATTGTCGCGCGAGCTCATTATTATACCCCCGGAGAAAGGTGTCTTTTTCCTTTATGGACATGAAGAGATGCCACCCCCTCGATGGGGCCCAACGTTGTTGTGTCGGCTTTCTGCCAAAAGTGCTAAGTTCCAGGTTCCCAAGGATTTCTGGTGTCAGTGTGACGCGTTTGTCCCTGGTGGATCGGCGTGCTCGTCGAGCCAGTGCCCGGCAGGAGCAGGTCCTCGCGGCTGAGCAACGTGAATTGCCCAAGTCTCAGCGAGAAGTCGAGGTAACAGTCAAACGCGCTATGGAGGGTCCCTCTCCATACAGAATTCGCGGCTTTGTCTTGTCTTGGCCGGAAGTCCACAATGTCATTGCGGCTACGCACAAGGTGTACATGCACGTCGGGACCGATAAGCTGGTTGGAAAGCTTTACACCCTTTATGGCTAGAACGGCCTGCGGTCGCTGATCAGGGTGGTCAAGCGTTCTTGCCACACTTGCCAGCTGCGCGCTCCACATGGCACGCAAGAGATCGGTCTACAATATATATATATATATATATATATATACATACACACACACACACACACACACACACACACTATATATATATATA